GAGAAAATGTACAACTTAATATATGAACTCATGAAATATTTCTGTACTGATCCTGAAAAAGACAACACTGTTCTATACTTTATTTATACTTTCTGGTCCAATCCACGATTCATACAGAATTATAAACAACATGCAGATCCAGCACCCAAGATGTGGGAACATTTGTTTTCTCTTCTGGGAAAGGAACAATTGGTAGTCCGGGGAGTTGGAGATGGCTAGAAAACTCTATATTTTGTGGCATGAGGAGCAAGATGGCCCTAGCGTTCACTGATGTTTTCACAAATGCTCTGAAAGTACTATCAAATGCTATTGAAGAAGAAGACTCCATTTGTAGGCAGGGCTTAGAAGTGAAAAAAAAAAAGCCCCAAAAAACACAAAACAAGTCAGTCAAGAGAGACAACAAAGAACATTAGTGTTCGTAGATACACTGAAAAAGAAATGCAATATAAAAGATGCAATAACATGAACAAAAACTACAAGTGCCATATGCTATGAGATGAATTCAGAGTCAGAGTTAATGATCACATTTTTAAAAATCTACATAACTATAAATCCATGTCAGCAACTAGGCTGAACTGCCTTCATATGCCTCATGTTTCAAATGTTTGTGTTTTACATGATAAAGAATGTTATATATATATATAGTGATAATATGTTTTGTATATTGTGATAATATGTTTATAATTGTGATAATATGTATATTGTGATAATATGCTTAAGTTAATAACAACAAATTACATTTATGTATATACTTTAGTGACAATCCACAATAATTAGTCAAAACTTATAATGATGACCATAATTGAAATCGGAACATTTATGAACATTAATTTCATAATTTATCAGTGTAAAGAACAGCATCATCCCCAAAGAGGAGTGAAAAAATACATTCAGAAGTTTACTTTGACCTAATTCAGACATAACATTGGCTTCTAGAGCGATATTGAGTAATACTTACACGCTCACGAACTACTGATTATGTGATTGTAAATAAAAGTGATTCTAATGTATGGATAAGGCTGAACAGGAAGGATGAGAGAGGCTGAGTGCTGCCATTTTGACCGACACCAGACCCTGGCCACTCTGAACCAGGAAGTCATTGGCAGCAAGTGGCAGCCGAGACCACCCCAGTGTGGATGAATGACTACGCCAGAAGCCTTACAGACTGATTCTGTGACGGTACTTTATATTTTACCTTTATGGCCTACTTTAAGAAAATGCTGGTCGTTCAGAACTGTTTCCCACCCGGGGTTTTGAACATTTTAAAACGTTACCACTGCCCCATAAGGGGTCCCCATCTGCTTGGGAGAGCACCCCTACTCTGCCTGTGGAGCAGGATCTGCTGTCTGTCGCTCTAGATTAACTCTCTGTTGCTAGTTGGCTTGTGCCTGAATTCTTTCCCACATGAAGCCAAAAACCCACTTGGTGAGTTCAGGGGCCTTTCCTCCCTTCCTTGAGACACCCCTGCATCACGTCAGCTGAAGATCTTGTGTGCTCCCGCCACTAACACTACCTTTTGCCTTTGGCTTCAGTCATGCAATCTTCTTAAATTCTTCCTATTCCTTCCCTGTGTGTGTGACATCTCCACTGAGTAACACACCTGAGCTTCACATTTGCGTCTGCCTATTGTCCCTCCACTCCCCTAGCACGTGTTTTTAGGCCTCCCAATAGTCCCAGAGTAGCAGCAACACGTGCTCTTGTACCTGTGATGCTTTCTTTGTCCTATCAATAACACATTTCTCACTTATTTGGCAGCAAAAAAAAAAAAAAATACAGTCTCCTGGTTCTTTTTTGAATCAGAACTTGGCACTTTTATACATCAAACTTAGCAATAACCACTTTGATGTTCACTAAATTAAAGTTGGAATCTTTTTTTTTTTTTTTTCAGTTGAAAGAGATGGTCAGGGTTTCTTTCCTGAACATTAACCCAAGAAGCAACTAATGAGGGCCAGGGCAGACAGAGATTTCATCTTTCATATGTGGGGGATATTTGCCCTGCTTCATCACTGTCATCCATACGTATTCCTTTCATGTTTCACTGTAGATTTTTCCATCACTTAGCATAACCTATCCATTTCTAAACTGTGGGCCGTAGTGTTTTCCAAAAAAAGTCCTTAGAGGGACATCTCCACTGGCTCTTCCTCAGGACAAACCTAAGACAAGCGTGATATAAGTTACTAACACCATTCCCCTTGTTGGCACACATTGAGGTCTCATGTTAAGGTCCCATTGTTAGTCAAAATACTAACAATGGTGCATTTCCTTAGCCTTCTAAGGCTGCATTTGTATTGACTTTTTTTAAAAAAGGAAAAATTGAAAAGCTGTGAAATTGTATTTGGTATACAGGAAGAAAAAAAGAGAGAAAAAGGAAGAAAAAAAGAGGTCCCTAAATATGTTTCAGATTAATGAAATACATTTTTCAGATCCATTTGTTCTTCTGAAGGAAGTGGGTCACAGTGTCCGGAGTAGGACATAGGTTACTAGACAACATACCACCCAGTGTCTGGAATGAGACAATTGGAAATGACTGTGTGATGATGCAAACACCTCTTAGAGCATGACCCTGGCTCAGAGGAGATAGTATCTAATCAATATTTTGCTAGGAGAAGCCACCTACTAAGAGACAGCAGATGAACCACCTGGGACTTTGAGAAGTGATATGACACTTCCTTGGAGATCAGTATAGGAATGGGTTTCTAGCTGATACCTACAATGAGTAGGGGTCAGGAAAACATGCCTTAGTGTGACTGATTCAAATTTATCGTATGCCTTCAGAACTAGACATACAGATCAGAGATAAGCCTATTTCCTCAGCAGAAACAGGTTATTTGTTCCTCTCTTATAAATTACCTGGCTGGATGAATTGAAATATACCATTATTACACCTGGATTCTTAAAATGAATATCAATTTGACAGGTGAGATGAGGGTGATTGACAAGGATCAGTAATAATCTCTCCCTTTTCCCAACAATTCCATCCCAGGGTAGGCCATAATCCTGTGTGTCTTTCTTCTGCACGTTGCATGGGGCTGGCCATGCCTGTTACTAGTGGCTCTTCTTTGATTGTGGGTTGGCTGCCGCTAAGTCCCCCACAAGTGCCTTGCTGTGGGGAAGCTGAAGGTGAAGAGCTTGACCTCACTTGTCATTCACATAAGCAGGTTACAACACATCAATTGCAATAACTCCAGCTTATGGCCTGAGCTTCCTTTGTCAAAACAGTGCAAGGTTCCATCTCCCTAAGGTTGCTGCCTATATGTGTACTTACTCCTAGTTAGACATTTTCTCATTTACTTCTAAGGCCACTTATTAGAATCAAATGTTGCTCATAACTTGGCTCAATTACTTTATGTTGGTTATGAATGAAAAGTTTAATAACACTAAATACTAAACATCTCGATTTGGTTATCATCTCAATCCATTTGTATGAGACAATATCTTCAAAACAAAACAAACTCAATGTCTAAGTCTAAAATGTATTGAGCTTGATTTGCACATTGCCTTTTATCAAACCAAGATAATTATAATTATAATCTTTGATAAAATACTAAGTAAATGTTCAAAATATTATATGTGACTTTTATTTTATAAAATGCAAATTACTAATAATATAGTTGCTATATTGTCACTAAAACCACAATCAACATCATTATTATTGATACATGGAAGCACCACGTAACCCAAATGTCCTTGCAGTTTAATTTTAGATATATGGCAGGAATGTCAATAGTTCTGACATCATTTTCAGCTCCAGGGCACAGCTATAGAGTGGTGCCCTTACCTATGGCTCCATCAAGATTATAACATATTTATCATAATTGAATTGCAGCTTTCATTTCTGACTCTAACACAATATAAACAATATATTGATATCAAAGGTAAACCCTATACGAAATTCATCACTGTTAAAAAAATGTCATTATATATACAAGTATAGCATCTGTACAATGTTATATTCTATGCCATCATATTCACAGTTTGATGCTAACTTTTCCACTCATATCCTTATTTACAATTTATGTTTACCTTATCTAAATGCAGATTATCACAGACAAAACAGCACTACATATACATATGCATGTCCAAAATTCACAATAGACATGTGGCATTCTGTTGCCTTCCTAATTGATATTGTAACTATTTGTTTCTCTAAGAACTATAGTCATCAGATTGCAACAAAATTTATGTCACAGGCACAAACACAGTCATTCTCAGAATGTAATTGCGATCTTTTTCTAGCAGAAATATAGTTCTGAATTAAGGGAAAATTCGTCTTTGTATTTTTACTTCTATTACAAACATGGAGAAACATTGATTGCTGCCTCTCTGAAAATGCACGTTGCATGTCCTAGAATTGAGCAAAATTAGCAAGTGCCAGGAAATCAGAAATGTATATGATTTGGAGTTTCAAATTAAGTTTAGCATTATAATAGTATGCCTACAAGTTTTACATAAAGATAATTTATTTTATTTCATACTACAAATATTATTCGTATTCTCACATAAGCATCTTACTCCCTTCTTATCAGCAGACCTCTAATAACAAAAAGATACTGCTTTTTCATTTAAAAAAAGTTAGGTTTTTAAGCTGAGGTGATCTTTTTCTTGCTATGATTTTAAGTTTTGGGTTGAATTTTCTATGAACATTTTATAAGTCTACCAACTCAAGTTTATAATGTATCATTCTTACTAAAGTATCACATAACTTCTTCTCCCACAAGTTGTGATCGTGTATATATTCCATATGAAATTAAATAATCTAGATTTTTTGAAATAATATTTCAGACTTTAAAATATTGTTTTCTGATGCTGTAGACAAAAATGATACTTTTAATATGATATGGCTGACAATCTTTGAATTACTGTCAAAAACAGCCTAGTCCGGCAAAATTGCAGTTGTGTTCAACAATACTTAAAGAACCCCAGTAGAGAAAAACAGTACAAGCGATTCTCAAAGGCTCCGTATTAAGTTATTCTCTTAGAAAAGATTCTGGAAAGGGTATCTAGAAAGCTAAAAGATTGGATCTTTTCAGGTGGCTCTTAAGATGCCACAGTTCCCTGAGGGCTGTCTGTCCCAGCTGCTCCTTCCCAGAATCAGAATAAATGAAGGGCTTGAGGAAAAGACATTCAATGCTAACATGATGAACTTTACATACTTATTGTTCCAAAACATAGAAAATATCCAACTTACCACTTGTGTGGGGAAAAAATAAACTATGAAGAGGAAGAACAAAGACATCACCATTGTCATGGGCCTCTTGTGGGCCTCTGTGTTGGAGTCTCCAGAGTCCAGGGAGCTGAGCTCCTAATTTCTAATGTGTCTCACCAAGGACAGAAATAAAAGACAAGTGAGGTCAGGGACAGAACCAGGGACATAAAGTGGGTCAAGGTAAGAAGAGCCAGAGTGTTAACATAGACAGTTTGATTTTCATCTAAATATAAAGTCAGAATTACTTTTATCTATCACGGAGTATTCAACCAAGAATCAGCAAACATTTCTAGCAATAGGAAACTGAAAATCATTTGGAACAAAGAAAACATAAGCAGCACAACAAGCACTCTCTTCATTCCCCGCCTCAGCCAGAGGAAAAGGGTATGGGAGAAGTGGGTTCTCTTAAAGAAGTAGAAAACTAAACCAAGTGGCAAGCCAAGTAGTGAAGTGATTAATTATTCCCCAAAGCACACTAGTAGGTTTTGCTAGTGTTTAAGTGGTATGTAAATGTGAATCTAGTCACTGTCTCAAACAGTGGCACCAACAGATGACTGAGTCAGAAGATGGCCAAGCAGGTGAGGATGAAGTCAACTGAGGACACATTGGGTTCTTGACCCACTCCGAGCAGTTGACCACTGCAATGGACATATGCCCCAGCATTCAGATTAAGAAATCTGCTATTGCCAGGATCATGAATATTTTATCCAATCTGGTGAACATTTCTCTAGGAAAAAAATTGAAATTTGTGATACTTTGTCTCATTAATACATTTGCAATCAAAGTGTTATAGAGTGGCATTGATAACTGAAAGTCAAGTATACAAACATGCTAATAAGGACACATTCCTTTTCACCAGTTTGTACTTTCCTCCCCACCTGAAATACTGTACCATTTGGATCACAGTACCTCTCCCATTTTTATAGAAAGCTCTAGATATAATCTAAATGATTTTGTTATTTTTCAATGAGTATATTTTGTGTTTACCTGCTGTGTCTGACATTGTTCAAATGCAAGATATGAACAGGTTTACCAGTAAAAAAGATAAATATGAAGATGTCCATACAGCATTGAAAGCAGAGAACATGAGACAGAAAAAAGAATAAAATGTAATGTGAATGTGGAAAAGGGAAGTCTAGATACTATTGTGGGGGAGAAAAGGGGAGGTTACAGTGGCCTTGGATCTGGGAGACACCTAGAATTTCATGAGAAAACCAAATGACATTTTCGACAGAATGCATAATATACCAAAGACACCTAAACCTAAATTACTTTTTTGAAATTAAAGTATTCTACCTGATAATTTACTGAAATTGCAGTCTAAAAGTTCCTTGGGTATCCCAGAGGAATATGTTCAAAATTATACTTTTCTCAATTTTGCTTTTTACATTTATATTTTGTTTTCGCCAGATATATAATGTTGTCAATTTAGCATTAATACACAGCTAGAAAATTGTTTTATATAAAGTAAAAACAAATAAACAAATAAATGTATCTGCTCTACATTCTAGGAACCATAATTTTAACAAAGCCTATTAGTGTCTCAACAATGAAGGCAGAATTGTGGACTTTGTGTCTTGGTTTATGTGTCAGAAAACAAATATTCTATTATTAGTAATTAATCTTTAGTGTTGTCAGGAAACAAGGACAAAGAAATGAATGAATTTATTTTTAAAATTTGGCCATTTTCAATATCGCAGGCACATTCACCAATTAAATTCTATTAATTAATTTTTTTAAAGTATATTTGAAGAACAATGTTATATAAATAATTACTGGTAAATAATCTCCTATGAAAAAAATATTTAAATTTAAGACAGATCTTTAAATTTAAAGTAAGAGAGGAAAAGAGACAAAACGGAAGTGATTGAGGGAGAGAGAGAAGGAGGGAAGAAGTGAGATTATCAGATAGAGGAAGGCTTAAAGAAAATGAAGAAATTTGATCGTATTTTAGAGAGGAGAATGATACCTTTGGTCAAGTTAATGGCTAGAAATGAAGAGAAGTTTATGGCTATGAAGAACATTTAAGAGGAAGAACAAGTAGGCTGAGTGATGGATTTGGAAGCTCAGAAAAGAAGGGCGAGTCGGCAGGGACAGGCATCCTTTGCACCCATATGCAGGGAGTCCTGAGACTTGAGCGAATGGAGGAAAAGGAGGAATAGATGCAAAAAGTAGGAGAAGGAGAAAAGCTGGGAGATGACGAGTCCTGTCCTGAACATGTTGGAGAGTGTGTAAGTCATCTAGTGGACAGCTTGAGTAGGCATTCGGTATCTGTGGCTGCAGGATAGGAATTAGGACTAGAAGCAGAGATTGTGGGTCAGCATTTCATTCTTCTTTCTGTGAGAGATGATGAGCTCCAATGGCCCCGAGGGTGAAGAAACCGAAAGAAAGACTAAGAAGCAACAGATGGAAGAGGGAAACCAAGATGCAATTAAGAGCAAGGAGTGACATAAGCAGATTAATCAATACTTGGTGATGTTAATGAAAGGTCACCTACTAACTGGAATAAGTATTAAGGAGGTCCTTGGGTAATTAGCACAGGTAGTTCAACCAAAGAGAAAGCAAACTTCCATGGGTTAAAGACTCAATGAGATTGCAAAAATGAAGCATTTGAAAACCAATAAACATAATTCAACATATTAACAGATTAAAGGAGAAACATGAGGAGAAATTCTACTTCTTACTATAAGTATTCTTAGCAAATTGGAATAAAATAAAGTATTACTCTTTCTGATGAAGAGTTATCTGAAAACCCCCATGCAAATAACATACTGATCAATGATACATTGAAAGCTTTCCCCTTGAGTTTGGGATCAAATCAGTGATAACCATTTTGTCATTCTGTCTTATGGATATTTTTTCCCAGTTACAGTAAGAAAAGAAAAAGAAATAAGGAAAAAAGTGTAAAGCACTAGACTGTCATTATTCACAGATTATGACTGAGATTACATAGAAAATATAAAAGTATCTTTTAATGTATTGTTAGAATTTGACCATTTAGCAAAATTTCTATATAGAAAATAAAGCTGTAAAATATATTTTTCATTTCCTCATGCCATCAAGAAACAGATAAATGAAATACTCTTTTTAAAGGATTAAATCACCTTAACCTCAACAAGCACTATGTACCTAGGAATAAACCACACACCTCAAAAACTCTATAAGGACTCTATAGAGAATATTAAAAAACCTGAAAAGGCCTTAGCTTTCTTGACCATATAACACATATTGGAATAATCATACCATCCATATTTTTCTTAAATTTAAACCAATATCACACATTCTTTTCCCTTTTTAGGCATGTTATCCAAGGACATTAAGTTCTCTATGTCGTTAAATATATTAAAGTCTGACTGCATGTAAATTACAGACCGTCTCCAGGCCCCAAACAACCCCTAATATAGTTTCAGCCATTCCAATCTCCGTGAATACCAGCCCTGCTCCTTTCACTTAGTGTAGCCAATCGATATTTTTCCCTTTTTACCGTAACTATCAGCTGTAATTTTTCATGTCAGGTGAGAGGTGACAAGATAGTCTCCCCTTTGCCAATGTGCAAATCCAGATGATATTGTTCCTCATTTTGCATTTTCTTTGCCTAACAAATTTGCATCTGTACATTTAGCTGTGGAACATCAAGGGGAAGAATTTAAAGATTGTAAAATTTAAAACTCACCCTAAATGTCTCTTTGTTCAAGCACACGGGAAAAATATAGGTGATATCGTGGTCCAGAATAGGAAGACTAGGGTCTGCCACATGTCCTGCAGTCTGTCATTGAGCTGTTGTGTGACAATTTACAAACATACCTTATTGTGCTACACTGTAGGCCTCATTCTCTGCTCTGCCTGCAAGTACCAGGGTGATCTATATTGGAAGCCTTACTCAAGGTATAAAACATCGACAATACCCTGTTATGTATGTCTAAGAACAGAACAGCAAAGGAGATTTAGTATGCCAGAAGTTGCCATTCTTACTGTAGCATAAAGGATGTTTGTTCTAATGAAAGTCCTTCTTGTGGAGGTTCTGGTTGAACTGATATATTATTTATGTCCAATTGTTCAGGTACCTCTTTTAAAATACTTGAATGATTTTAGAAATGAGCCAAGAAATTAGTTGAGAAGAAACCATAGGATATCTGAGGGGGAATCATAAACAACTTTAGGCAGCGTCTTCCTCTGTTTGTGCTGCTATAACAGAATACCACTAAACTAGGAAATTTATAAAGAGTAATATATTTCTCACAGTTCTCAAGGCTGAGAAATGCAATAGCGAGGTACTTCCCTAAGTCAAAGTCTGTCATGCTGCTTCAAACCATGGACAAAGGGCTAAGGCTGGGGGCGGGGGTGGAGAGAAAAGGGCATCAAACTCACCCTTTCCTAAGGAACCTGTTCCTGTGATGCTGAGCCCACTCCTGCAGTGACAGCATCAGTCCATTCAGGAGGGACGAGCTGTCAGGACCTAATTCCGGTTAAAGGTTCTACTTCTCAACACCTCCAACCCTGAATCAATATTTCAAGCCATGAATTTGGGGGGCACATTTAAACCATAACATTTCACCCCTGGCCCCCCAAATTCAAGTCCTTCTCACATGCAAAACATATTCACTTAATCCCAATAGCCCCAAAGTTTTAACTTATTCCAGGATCAACTCAAAATCCAGTCTCCTCTTAAGCAGATAGGAGTGAGACTCAAGACAGGATTGAGTCATCCTTCAGGCAAATTGCCCTCCAGCTGTGAGCCTGTGGAATCAAAACAAGTTATTACCTCCTTAAATACAATGGGGGGACAGGTAGAGAATAGATGTTCCCATGACAAAAGGGAGCAATAGGCAAAAAAAGAGGGATACCTGATCCCAAGGAAGTTCAAAACCCAGCAGGGCAAACAACACTAATTCCTAAATCTCAAGAATAATCTTTAATTCCATGTCGCATCTGACACACTGGGGAGAGGTTGGGCCCCCAGGCTTCAGGCAGCCCCACCTGCTTGGCTTTGCTGGGCTCAGTGCACTCAGCAGCTCTCACAGGTGGAGCCTTGTGGCAGTGGGTCTCTCCACTGCTGTTGCACACGGGTAGCTCTCCAGTTCTGAGGTGTCAGCGGCAGCTCCACCCTGCCCACCCAGCGGCTCCACTAGGCACTGCCCTGGTGGGGACTCTCAGCAGTGGCTTTTCCTCTCTGACATGTCTCTGCCTGGACCCTGACTGTCACAACATCCTTTCCAATCCTGGTAGAGGAAGCCATGCCTCCAAGTCCTTGCATTCTGTGAGTCTGCAGAATCAGTATAGCATGTGGAGGCCACTAGTGTTGAGAGATGTTCCTGATATGGCAGCCCAAGCTGCACCTGGGCTGGCCTGAGCCACTGAGAAGCACCTCACTGGAAATCAAGGGGCAGAGACCTGAGGCAGCACATGGCAGGGAAGGCTGGGCCTCAGGATACCATGGTGGGCCAGGCACGCATGGTTCTGCTTTCTAGAAGCTCATGTTGTGGTGAAGGATACAGATAGGCATTAAACTAGGGAGCAATTATAAAGTGAGTAATTTGAAGAAAAGTAATAATTACCTTAACTAGCCTATAGCTGTAACTAAGTTTCCTAAGGAAGTGACACTTGAACTGAGAGCTGATAAATAGATAGGAGTTAAGTAGGTGAAGATGAGGAGAAACAGTCTAGGGAGAAGGAATGGTGGAAATGTTCACTGGCAACAAGAGACTGATTCTTTGTGGGTTTAG